ATATAAAAACGAACCGTTTGTTTCTTTGCTGGAGTTCCAGTGGAGGGATTTTGTTTTAATTTAATTGAAAATGAAACACAAACTACACCCTTTCAATTTCTTCAATTCCGATGTCTTTCCCAATCCCATTCAATGAAAACCATTTCTATACATATTTTCGTAGTCGTAGTGGCATCAATATATACATATGTATGTACATATATACTCTTGCCACGTACTGCATTTCGCTATTAGAGAGATAAAGGGAGCTGAAAGAGTTGTAATACTCTGTTGTAAGTGAGCAGAGCCACCTCTTGTTGGTTGTGGCAAGCTTTGGAAATGCCAAGCAAATTTTTATTCCAACCATTTCTTTTTTTTTTTTTTTTTTTTTGTGGAATGGCTGAAGAGCTGGCAATATGAAACCACCAAGCCAGCAAGCCAACAATTTATATACTGCAAATATGCAGTTAGAGCTCACTGTCAGCCAATCGAAGTTAGTCGAAATAGCAATGCAACTCAGAACGATGTTGTCGACAGACGTAACAATGAAGCCCCGCCAGCTATTCAGTTGTTAATAATGGCGGCAATCGGTTTGTACATTTCACTAAAGTGGGTCAATATATCGCATGCAATTTTCACTCGTATTCCCTTATCCTTTTATGCATACTTGCCTGTTTGGCTTGTACATGTGAAGCAAGAAAGTCTTTAAACATATCGAAATGGATATTTATGGAGTTTAAGTTGCATATCATTGCCTGCAGTGCCTTTTTTTGAGTCGCGCATGATAGCTTGTGTGAGAGAGAATTGGCTGCCTAGGGAACATTCTAACAAAGCTGTTCAAATGATAACAGATTGAAGCAAGAGGATTAACCGTCCAACCAACAAACCAGTCAACAAATGAAAGGAACAATAATGCAACCAAAAAGCTAAACAACCAATCAACCAACCGAGCAGTCAACCAAAGAAACCACTCCACCACTGTTGCCCACTACTATAAATAACTCATTGATAAGTCAACATGCATTTTTCTCATTTGAATTTTTCTTTGTTTGCATAATTAAGCCACTCCAATGGGCTTTCATTGGAGGAAACTACTTAAAAACCCTTGTCTGTGTCTGCGATTGTTTATATGTATATAACTCACTCGGTTGAGTGGTTGGTGTGTGAATTACCGTCCAATGACCCAGTTTTTACGTATAGAAAATAATTAAGTATTTGAATTAACGCAAAAGTATTGAATTTCAACAAGAGTTTGCATTGAAAAATAGAAATTTTGTTTTTATTTAAATTTATTTTATCTTATCGCTTTTTTTATTTTAATTTCTTAATTTACCTAATTTTTTTATTTTCTTTTATTTTATTTTATTTTACTTTCTTTTATTTTATTTTACTTTCTTTTATTTTATTTTATTTTATTTTATTTTATTTTATTTTATTTTATTTTATTTTATTTTATTTTATTTTATTTTATTTTATTTTATTTTATTTTATTTTATTTTATTTTATTTTATTTTATTTTATTTTATTTTATTTTATTTTTTTATTTTTTTTTCTTTATTTTATGTTATTTTATTTTATTATGTTTCACTTGATTTAAATTCATTTTATTCTATTTTATTTTTTTTTTTTTTATTTTTTCTTGTTTGTTACATTTAATTTAATTAATTAATATTAGCTTTTTTTATTTAAATTAAATATTATTTTTCTTGACTATAGTTAAAAAAAATTGTAGAAAAAAGCAATTATTTGGCTTCGAGTGAAATTCTTGAAGTGCGCCTTCCTTAAAGAAGCTGAAAAGGCAAATTTAATAATGCACTTGTAATGCTTTTCAGTGGATTAACGCCGTAGTAAATCAAAGTGGGCATGAGAGCATTATACATACACATACATACAAGCATATGTAAGACAATATAAGTAGATCATGTAATGGGAATTCAAGTTGTAATGTTATTTTGATTCATCGCTGTTGTTATTACCCATTACTACCATACGAGTTTATCCATACATACATATATTTATAATAATAACTATATGCTAATGTATTATTGCTAAACTTCCACGCCGCGCATTACCGTTATATATACATTTTTAACTTGATTAAATTAAGTGCAGTCAAAATGAAAAAGACTATCATAAAAGGCCAATAAATCTGAGTAACGCCCAGAAAATAAATAAATGGGAACATTATCGCGTAAAGTAGACAAGTAAGTAAGAAAATAAGGACAACTGCGTGAGGAGTAGAGCTGCATTTCTGAAATAACGCATATTTGGAAAAGAAATTTTCTTATTCAGGTATCATTGGAAAATACAGAAACGGCTATGAGATAATATTTAAACAAATGAGGCTCTTTGCTCCATAAATAATTTGTTTATTAACGGGAAATTAAACAAAATCCTCTCTATCTAATAAAATAAAGAAAAGGTCAATAAGAAATTAGAAATTAATTTGAGCAAGATTTTATAGATTTATAATATATTATTATTATATAAATAAACTTAACAAATTATTTACATACACCTTCCTCAAAATAATCACTTAAAATTCGTGAGTTAAGTGAGTTTTTAGTTCATCGAAAACAAACAGACAGACAAAAAGACAGAAAATTTTGTTTTATAAAACCGCTAAAGCAATGATTAGCTGACCTCTTCCTGCAATTTGTGATATATGTTTTTCCACCAAGCGCAGTGAACTTCAGCTCTGAGACCCAACTGAAGGGCTAAGAAGGGTTCGGCATTTCCTGCTTTTTCGTTGTTGGTGTGGCCAGGCTTTGAACCCATGACGCACCGCCAATCAGACGGCTAATAAGATCAGAGAATATAGGCACATGATGAGCAAATCGTAAAATATCTAAAAGTATTGGTAAATATATTATATATATATATATATTTAATAAATAAGCTTCTATATTGCATAATGAGGGTAAAAAGTTTAGGTATCGTAGCAACAATAATCAAGCGAATAACAACAATATGACGAAAACTCTTTACGCCAACTTAAATCCCCCAAACCCCCCACCTTTTTCTTCAACTAACAAGAGATTTCTTTGAAAACTCAAAGTAAAGAACGAAGCAAAGCATAAATATGTATGTACAAAAGCAGCGAAACTTTTCTATAAGACAGGATTATTAGTAAATAAGAGTAATGGTGAGCAACAACAAATATAAACAGAACATAATAACAAGTTGTATTTTTGTTTAAGAAATGGAGACTGTAAAGATGACCAGCATCGCAAGTGAACGAGTAAGTTCAGGCACCGATGAGTTGACTAAAGAATTCTCTGACGATGATTGTAATCACCACTCTCGCTTCGAGTAGCTGCTGTTGCTAGAACTATGGAGTAAATAAAACATAAAAAGGAAAATTTACTAAGTACACGGCAGTGCAATCAAGGCCATATAAAAAGAAAAGACAGCTAGCTAAACTCCGAATCTGCATATTAAATTAGAGCAGGGATTTTTTCCTGATTTCTTCCTAGTTTTGTCTTTCAAAGCGATTTTCAAAAGGGTTAGTTCCAGCACAAATAGGCTACTTATTTAAGGCACTGGCACTCAAAAAAGATCAACTTTCACTCCAAAGTAAAAGATCAAGTTTGAAGAGACGGCAAAGACCATGCATGGCAGAATAGTTGAGAGAATCCAACTCCTTTAAATGAATTGTCCGCTTTAGTGATTTGGTTACGTGTTAAAGCCTCGAGTCACTGTAAATGCGTATCGACTTCTGGCCTCAAGAGTCGAGTGGTTAGCATTGCGCACTACCATTGAAAGGCCAAAGTGCCAATCCTGGTTCAACCAACATAGCATTCGCCCTCGGCAAAGAATGTCAAGTCTTCCGAATGTATTTCTGAGGAGGAGCGCCAATTCTTCACCAGCCAAATCATGCGCCATAGGCAAGAAGAGATGGTAATCACTTAGTGTAAGAACTGGACTATAAAATGGGTGTATAAGAACTTCCGAATAAGCCTTTCGGAAATGCTAGCGCAGTTACTATTGATGAGTGTGGTCTGGTGTTGTCCTAGTGAAACACATTTCCCAGCCTTTGTGCTTCGTTCAGACAGTCCAATTGCTGGCAGTAAAAGTCCGAATTAAGAGTTGGGCCATCCATTCTGGCTTGAAGACCGTTTATACCGGCTCAGTGCCTTCGGTCATAACCCACTTTTCATAACCAGTCACCAACCGGAAATTTGGTCCATGAAGTTTTTTTTCTCGTTAACTCATGTGACACCCATACATTGAGCTTTCAGCCTATTTCTAGTGGTTGCAAACAACTTTTCATGCAATGTTTAGCCCCTGGACAATCGAAGTAGTGTGCACATGATGGTCAGACCCGATGATTTTCATTATTTTATTGACATTTTCGACAATTGACCTTCCGAACCGTGAAGCATCTTTTACATCAAAATTACCAGATTGTAATGACTAACTGTTGCAGTATCAGGACCGTAGACACTATTCATATTTTCAGCTGCCTGACTTGCGTTTTCCTGTTTGTAGCATAAAAATTGTGAATTACAGTTTATTATCTCTTTGGTGCTGGCCATCTTTGGCACTTCTTTCGTTGTCTTTTTTAATACGAAATACAGTCCAATTCAATCGCACATATAGGACGTGAGACGCAGATCATTAAAGCCATCTGTTGCAAAAATTATGGAAGATTTGTTACGAAACGTAATGTAAATATTAGCCGAGTATGTACTGTTACTTTTACAGTTACTTTGAATAAGTGCATATATCAATGGAAGAAAGCGAGATCAACTTTCAATACCTCACAATTGTCTTATCAAATTTATATATATAATCTAATAACGGCTCAACGTTGAAACCTCGCTTTCCGATCGCTGCTACGTAGAGATTTACACGTAAACGTTACGTGAGCTGCAAACAAAATTATGAAATTTAGACAGCATATCAGTGGGGAGTAGATCTTTTTAAAATTCTTTGGCTCTACATACCCAAAAAAAATAAATGCTATATACAAATAAATGCTATACATATGTAATTGTACGTATCGATACTGAACTCACCACTCACTTTTGATAATTATTTCCTTCAGTTTTTCCACGTAAAAATATTTCGTTAAATCCAACTGAAATGTTAAGGAAGATTATTTTATTTTTTTTTTATTAATATTGGAAAATCACTCTCCGTAAGTAGATAAAATAGTTGTACGTGAATATATTTACATATATATATATCTACATATAATTATCACAAACTCTTAAACAAACGGCTGAGGAGCTTAGTCTTTTCTACATAATCACTTAGATTTCTTTAGATATTCATATGATACAATATACAAAATACAGATTCAATCACACATTTTACGTATACATGGACATACATTTATATTTAGGAATATTCTTTCAAAGTTTTACATATATTCACACCTCTACTCGTCAATAAAATGTCAATGAGAATAAAGAGTTGTTGCACTTTTGCCAGATGAATTTTATTCAAGATATTCTTCATCTTCTGAAAACTTCATATAATGCTTTGATCTTTTAACGCACACAACAAAAAACACACTTAAGAGCAAGACAAGCGGTAGAAAGATCAACAAATTGAATGAAGAAATAATTTTAAAAGAGAGCAGATTTTGAAAGTGACACTTGAAAGCCACTTATGCAATAGAGGCACTTGAAGAAAAAGTATTAAAAAGATTTGGTTTTAATTTTAAATACATAAGTATACATACATATATGTATATATGCCCATGGAAACTGCACTGAACGATGAAAATATCTATGAATGAATGATAAATTCAAGTTTTGCTGGCTGTTTTAAAATTATTCAATTAAAAAATAAAACACGCCTTCATTGGAATTTCTACGAATGAATAAGAAATTAATACAAAAATTTATAAATAATTATTAATCCACTGTAAAAAACTTTTACACTATATACTCGCATATAATTCTATGGTATACGAGGTGGCACAATTAAGTAATGAGACTGATTCCATAAAACAGTATATTTGGAAATTTTTCTACAACTGTGCCATCCGCTTCAAAGCAGTTCCCTTGGGCAGCTAAACAACATTTTCCATGCTTCGTAATATTTCTGGAACGCTTCGTCGCGGCAGCCGGATCCTTTGATTACCGACTTTGTTCCGATGAACAAAAAAGTCACAGGGTGACATATCAGGCGAATAAAGCGGTTGTTGCAACACGTCGATCCCTTTAGATGCAAAATACTGGGACACGGAAAGGAAGGATCCAGTTACGAGCGATGCCTGGGCGCACACTGTTGACTTGAAACACACAGGCACAACTAAGAGCATTATCACCCTAATCTTTTACAGTTTTAACATACGTTCCCGAGGTTGTCCGCCTAATTTGGCGTAAAATTTTATAGCGGCGCGTTGCTATTGATTTCGTTTTTCCATTTTCGTGACAAGCATCACGAACACACGTTTAGTCAGCACGACACAGCAGGCGAACTAGGCAAGCCAAATGTATCAATGAAGAGGAGAAGGAGGTGGGAGAAGGGAGAGTGAGTTTCAGGGTCACAGGGCTACCACAATCGCGGCAATATAATCAGTCTCATTACTTAATTTTCACACCTCGTAATTCTGAAATGTCATTATATCATTCTGACAAACTCGAACGCATCGGAATTATTGATTTTTTGTTTCAATTTTTTTTTCGTATATTTCCTAAAAGTTATGCTGTATATGTACATATGCATACATATATACATAAGTACAAACAAGACACTCGTTCTCGGCAAGGAAGAATGACCAAAGAAATATGATAATTCTTCATTGGTACTTACATTCGAACTAGCGTCGTCTGGGTAGAAATCCCTGTTATTTTGAAAGCTATTAAGCAAATTGGAAACGAATGCTCAAGTCTGCCCCTTTGTCAGTTCGTTGGTTTGTGTAAATGATAAGTCGAGATATTTTAATGAAATTGGTTCATACATTCTCCGGGTAACAAATACGAAAATTAAAATTCTGCTAAAAGATAACTCTGTAGATAAGGTAGTTAAAGGTAAGAAAATTACTTAATAATTTTCAATTTATTTTCACTTTCTTTCATTTTTTTAAATTTTTTTAATTTTTTATTTTTTTTTATTTATTTAGTGTTTTTATAATTTTTATTTCTTTATTTTATTTGATTTCATTTCATTTTTTAACTTAATTTTAATTTATTTTATTTTATTTTATTTTATTCTATTTAATTTAATTTAATTTATTTTATTTTATTTTATTTTATTTTATTTTATTTTATTTTATTTTATTTTATTTTATTTTATTTTATTTTATTTTATTTTATTTTATTTTACTTTATTATATTTTACCACATTTTATTTTATTTTATATTAAGTAAAAAGTTCGTTCGGTTTTTTATTGATTCTTCCAAATATGATAACTTTTGTCCATTACCAGAGTAGTTCTACCTTCTGACTTTTAAACTCATACTAATATATAATTTTAAAGATACCATCAACGGCTGCCAAGTAATTTGAAGTTCTAAAATAAATTTATTTCTAATTAAACTTTTGAAACAACTAAAGACATGGCTGTACAATGATAAAATAATTGAAATTAAAAAGAGCGAAGCAACAAAAAATTGTTTAACAAGAAAGCAATGCAGGAAGTAATGTAAGAAATTACTTAGCAGCAAAAAAGCATTTTTATATTTTTTTTTAAGTGGCAAAATATTAAGTACGCTATTGGTGTAAGGGATTGAGTGGTGAAATTGCAATTGCTGCTTGACTGAAACAGCTGGTAGTTGGCATGCCAGCGACACTGCAAGTGGTTTCAAAAGTGGAATTAAAGGTTGAAGAGGTTGCAGATAGAGAAACAAAAAATATTTAGTTTAAAAAATATTTGAAAAAGTTTACAACTTTTTTTTTTTTTGTTGACGTTTAATTTTTTCAGTTTACTTTGTATGTATGTATATGCATTAAATATGTATATAAAAATGAAATGTACAAAAAAATTTAATTTTAATGAAAGCCATGGGGTAGCCAGCGCCGAATACAACTCTATCGCAATGCATTTTCGAATGAATAAGAGATTTTGAACAATAAATATATACGAATATATTATAAAATATATAAATTTTTTAATTGTTTTACTTTTCTTTTTATTTTTTCAATGTCATTCGCCTCTTACATTTTATTTTCTTTTCTCTTTTTTAAAATAAAGGATCCCCAAGCTTTTTTTAAATTGTTTTTGAAGAAGCTGTCTTTATTAAAATAAAATAAATTATTTCATTGAGAAATCAATTGAAAATCGCAAATTAACTCAATAGAAGCATAAAATCCATTCATTTTAAAAAATTGTGTTCATAAACAAAATTCATAAAGTCGGAAAGATAACTCTGCTTAGATCAAGACCTGCCGACTCAGCTAGTTTTTTCCACCAAAAGTACTGATTTTTAAATTTTTTGAAATAAAAATAAATGTGAAATTTGAATTCCTACTAAAAAATGATAATTTAAAAATAACAATAATTATTGTTAGTTTAATCCCTACAAAAATCAATGGGATATTTGTCTTAATATTCTTTTACTTTGAACAAAATATGAGCACATAAGCTATAAGAAAAACAGAAAAACTACCTTTGTCTGACTCTTTTAGTCTAATTTTGAGAAATTATTTTCCTCTGTCTTTCCATTTAATCTTTTTTTTTACTCTTTTCTATCCTAGTAAATTTTTCCTAACCCGTCCACATTTATGCCACCATTTTAAGTGCGTTAGACATTCTGCACCTTAAGTGCATAACACAAATGTTACTCATACGCCATGTCGTCAATAGAAAAAATCCATTCTTTGTGCACTTTCCAGCGACGAAATTGCCTGCCACCAATAAGTGATTTATTGAAACAAAACAAAATGCAACAGAAAAAATTGTAGAATTCTATTGCTTTGTCTACAGTTATATATACATACATTCTTAAGTACATATATGCACACTCTAGTAATATTTCATCATCAATGCCGACTATCTTGGGCACAGAAAGTGACAAAGGCAGGTGAGAAAAAATTTCAATACCCTTTAGGGGATTCTTATGTATAGACATAGCAAAGTGTGCTGCTCACATGTTTTTGTCGTATTCTTATCTACACATGCGTATATGGAGTGTTTTTTTTTTTGTCACCTTAGCTGCTCTTTCTAACTACTTTCTTGACTCCTTTGTACGTAATTTTTTTTTCGTTCACTACCATTCAAGCTGCCAAGTTTTGCATGCTACTGATAGGGTGCATCGTTCAAATTGGAGACTGAGTCCGTAGAGCCGGCAACGAAATTGTTCAAAAAAAAAAAGGACAAAAGATCAAGCCAAAACAAAAAAATAAATAATCGAATTAAGGATAGTCTAGAAAGCCTTATATGGAAATAGTGAGAACTAAAAAGGCTTCGTTGTCATCAGACGTAAATGCATAGGTTTATATGAAAACGAGCAGTGGCTCAGTATATGCACACATATTCTACTTCACCGCAGTTCCAACCGGTGAATATCAATTGGGATTGCTTAAGTATATCGCGAATAGTGCAGAAGATAATGATAAACTCTTGGCTTTTGCCATACTGTTGATGTATTGAGAATGCGTTGAAAAGCTGTTGAGAGATAGTTGAGAAAGTGTTGAACATTATTACAGAATTAAAAGATGCCCTCAGCAAATCAAATTTAATGTTAATAAGAATCAGAAAGTCTTTATAAGGCCAGGCGGTTTTTCAATCACAATATCGGAACAGACAACTCCCCTGTACTGGAGCTATAGTAGGTACGTAGGCACGATTTTTTTTCGACCGATCTGTGCATTTATCCTCGCATATTTAAGAAATTTATTGAGAATATTTGATCTTACTTTAAGGAAATAAAAGTTATAATAAGTTCTATACATCAGCATATCTCCACAAAGAAGCCTACCTCCCAGTGGGAGACAAGTGTTAGATGAATGCATGCAAAGAGCTGATTAACGTCGAGCGATGACTCATTGCATGCAGTTCATACGTAAAAAGTAAGAGTTAAGTCCAGACCTTCACTGTGACAGCATTGCAGTATTGCTAGGGTCTCTCGTGGTAGCTCGTCTTCTTGGTCTGCAAAAGTG